AGGGGGAAGCAACCCACAACCACACCACACCACAGAAAGGGGAGGAGGAACCATTGGGGGGGGAGGGGGGGGGCCGGCCCAGCCGGGATCATATATGGACCCTCTTGGATAGTAAGGTTTAACGTCAGCAATATTGCAAGTGGAACAGTGGTCTGCTAGACCTCAAAGGGCAAGCTCTACGTATAGGGCTTTTGAACCACGGCTTCGCGGCTTAGGGTTGAGGGATTAGGTAGCCATGACCTTCTTGGCTCCACAGAATTTCAATCGTTGACGGGTTTTGGCAAAGAGACAAAGTCTTCCAAACCTAGCCGATCTAAGGAATTTCAGGTACTTGGGTTTCTATGCAGGTTCTTCATTGGTTCTATAAGGGTTATGGATAGTTCTGCAGGAGATTGTAGAGGCATCAGGCGCGGTTTATGTATCGGGCTCAGCCTCAGCATGTTTGTCTCAGCCCTAAGCCCGTAAACCCCATAACCTTAACCTAAGCCCTGAATCCCCAAACCCTAGACCACTAAACCCTATAGAACCCTTCGCGAGCCCTGAGAAGGAACCCTGAGTGTTCACATAGAAACCTCTGCAACGGTAATGGAAGCCTGAAGAGGAACCTTTCAAGGAACCCTTGAAATAACTCCCTGAGAAAGGAAGGCCTGTCCAAGCGCCACGGTCCTCGACCAACCATGCCTAAACCCTAAACCCTAAAACCGAAACCCGAAACCCGAAACCCGAAGCCCTAAACCCTAAACCCGAAACCCGAAATCCTAAACCCCTAAACGTACCATGCCCTAGGGCCGAGGTTGCCAGCGACGGGGCAGAGGCCCTAAACCGCTACAGCCTACGGCCAGTCAAGATTGTCGTCGTTCCGCGGCATCGCCCGCCCGCAGAACCTGAAGCATGCCTGTGCTCCGGTGGTGAGGGCCTCTGCCCCGTCGCTGGCAACCTCGGCCCGAGGGCAGGGTAAATTTAGGGGTTAGGGGCTTAGGGTTTGGGGTTTAGTGTTTAGGGTCTTGTGGCGGAAGAGGGCAGTGATGTTTTTCAAGAGATGATGACGCTCGCTGCATCGCTACTGGTCGTCTACCAAGGAGACGTGCCCCTCACAGGCCTCAGGCCCTAAACCCTAAACCCTAAACCCTAAACCCTAAACCCTAAACCCTAAACCCTAAAACCCTAAAACCCTAAAGCCCTAAACCCTAACTTAGGCCATAAGCCTGGTTCCTAAGGATGTTAACCGGCAAGCCATGGCCACCGTTCTACGCGGATCCTGAGGGCAAGGACTTAAGATCCAGGGACTACTGCGGGTTCAGGGGTTGAAAGTCTACGGTTTAGGGCTTTAGGCTTTTCGGGTTCAGGGTTCAGGGTTAAGGGTGTAGGGTTCAGGGTTTAGGGTTTAGGGGATTCAGGAATTCCGATTCCGGGTGTACTACCACAGCGGAGGACTTGAAACCTGGTGGCCAGAAGCTGATCTCCAGGAGCTCATTACCCCACAGGCCCCCAGCGACTCCCTCCCCTACCTTTCCTTTACGCCTTCTTGCAACTGCACGGGCTGGCAGTAAACCCTAAGCCCTAAACCCGAAACCCTAAACCCTCCGGTCTGGAGCAAGCTAGTGGGGTTGCCAACGTGCAAGAAGCTCCCTAAACCCCATAGACCCATGAACCCTAAACCCCCCTAAGCCCCTAAACCTAGACCTCAAACCCCCAAGCCCCAAACCCTAAACCCTAAACCCTAAACCCTAAACCCTAAACCCTAAACCCTAAACCTAAACCCCTAAACCCTAAACCCCCAAAAGCCCCGGAAGAGGAAGCCCCTAAGGGAGCCTCGAACCTCGGAAAGCTCAAACCAGGCGCTCTGCAGCGCCGCCTCCGCCCTCCTCCAGGCCCGGCCCACGGTCTTTGGGGTTTAGGGTTTTGGGGTTTAGGGTTTTAGGGTTGAGGGTTTTAGGGTGTGGGGTTTTAGAGTTGAGGGTTTTAGGGCTTGTAGGGTTTATGGTTGTTTCGCCTCCTTCCTTACGCTTGTCTGGCTTCGAG